TTCGCTTCTTCACCGTCTTCTGAAGACGCCCCGTCAACTTTTTTTCCATCGTACAGTTACGGTAAAATATTTCTTTTATTTATTTATTTTTTTAATGTTTGTTAGTACGATTAGTTTTCTTTTCTCTTCTATGTTTAATATTACTTATACGTTAATGTTACACATACATATATTACAGTTAATTAATTTAATTGGTTTTGTATAACGAACTTGCGTACAAAATATTCTTTCCTGAGCAATCGTTTGAAGTTTGAGAACGAATTAATCTATTTTACATAAATTCCTATGGAAAAAAATTGTTTTGTTGTACGAATATTTCTGGTGACAAACTATCTTCAGGGCGAATATCTTCATGAACTAACTGTACTAAATAAAACTTTCTAAAATTACCGAGAGCTGTTGAAGAAATTGCTTGGAAAAATCAGCTGCCAATCTGAACTTTTAAATATCCTTCCATGAAGCGCTCTCCTGTTTGAGGGAAATTCTATTTGCTCTCTTTCAGTTTTTGAGAATAAATGTTCTCATTCTATGAAGCTGCTTTGAATCGTTTGTACGTTCGGAAGTCTGTATGAAGCTGAAAGTGACCAGATACCTGATATTCGATGATTAACTGAAGAGGAGAAACGCCAAGGATCCATTTAACTTGATCATCAATAATGAATGCTTGCTCTCATAGAAATTTTAACATCTTTTACGTTGATTAATATAAATATTTTGTTCTTCAATCTATAAGACATTTAATAACATTAGGCTTTACAACAAAATTTCAAATAATGTGTTTAGAACTTAAATTTTAAAAAACGTAATTTTCATGACTATTCCTATTTATATTATAATCGACAAAAATAAAATAGTTCTTAATTTTTCAGAATAGAAGAGCAAGTTAATGTGCTTCAGTAGTTGACATTTATAAACACATGGTGGCCTTAGAATGGTATGCTGAGTAGCTTTGCAACATCATTTTAGCACATCTCTACTAAAAGGTTGCCAAACACTGCTTTTAGGAATCCAGCACCGAACAAATGTCAAACTTTTGTAAGATTTCAGAATATTCTATGTGTGAACATTCCTTCGTGTCGCCATCTTGTCATGCACGTTACGGAAAATCCTCGCGGATCATTTTCAATGGCTATAAAAATATATTGCTGTAACTAGACCTCATGGTAGAGGTTGCACATACACTGTGGCTTTATCTTGTTACTGCAGAAGGTGGGGAGGGGAAAGACGAAAAGGTCAAAAAGTGCAATATTTGGTGATCTTTAAAGATCATCTGCAAAAGTAATAATACAACCAAACCACTCGTGAAGTAGAGATCTGTTTAAATAGTTTTTTAATTGGTATTTGTTACGTAAGACTAAGTTATTTTAATACGGCAAACCACACGAGGGCTCTCTGCCCAAGGGAAAGGATACCTTCATGCAGAACTTTGTAAGGGAAACTGGCTTGCATTCTCGCTATACATGAGAACCAACCAATCATGCAGCCAGTCGTTCGTCTGGGTAGGAACTTAGGTTGAACTATCTATTGAAACTTCAGGGGCTTTAACCATCCGGTTAGTGGTTAGGGCAAAACTTAATATTTCACCTTTCCATCGATAGCTTCTTCAGTCTGTCTTAAATTATAAATATTGCATTAAAAACTGCAAAAGTTAGTTTCGCTTTGCTTTGATAATAAGTCTAGTTTGCAGGAATATGTAGCATTTCTACACCAGTCGAAAGCTAGAACACTGCAAAAGTTAAAACTTGGTTTCGATTTCAGCTAACCCTTTATATACACTCATGTCCATAAATTAAGGATAATTCGGAGTCACGCGGAGATCGAACTCTAAAATAAATATATCACCTGTAAAATCACTACACACATCTTCAAGAATCTTATGCAAATTTCAGGAAGTAACCAGATGACACCGATGGTACGTCACAATGACGAGAGTGTAAGAGAGTGATATATAAGGAATACAGGCAAAGAAGTAAAATTGTTCGCAGGCGCTTTATAAGCATTTCAGTGCAATAACCGAATAGTTATGACACAAAGGACGCATTTGGATGATTTTTTACGTGGTAGAATTATCGGCCGTCTGGAATGTGGGCGTACCCAACTGGAAGTATCAGACGAACTTGGAATGCCCAGAGTATCATCTCCAGGCTTTGGCAACGATTCCAAGATGATGGCAATGTGAGTAGAAGTTACAGCACAGGTCACCCCAGAGTTACAACGCCGAATGAGGACCGGTATTTGGCAGTTACTGCCAAAAGAAACAGGTGGAGCACAGCCTCAGACCTGTCTTGCCAGCTCTCTTCAGCCACTGGTACGACAATTTCAAGGCAGACCGTGTACAGACGCTTAGGGCAGATTGGCCTATATGCTCGTAGACCTGTCAGATGCGTTCCACTTACTGCAACTCACTGTCGCCTGCGGTTAGCCTGGAGAAGAGAGCATGTATTGTGGATACCGCAACAGTGGCCTTGTGTGATGTTTTCCGACGAGTCCAGGTTTAGCTTGCAGTCTGATTCTCGCCGGACTTTCATATGGAGAGCTCCAGATTACCCGTTACCACCAAGAAAACATTATTGAACGACACCGTTACGGTGGTGCAGGAGTGCTCGTTTGGGGTGGAATTATTCTGGGTTCCAGAACTGAAATGCATGTTCAAATTGGAACCATGAAAGCCAAATCTATCGGGACGTCATTCTGGAACAACATGTACGTTTGTTTCGGAGCGCCATGGGCGCACAATTTGTGTTTACGGATGACAACGCCCGTCCTCACCGTGCAAACATCGTAAGCGAATGCCTTCAATCGGAGGATATCACCCGTATGGACTGGCCAGCATTCTCACCGAACTTGAATCCAGTAGAGCACGTGTTGGACATGCTTGGCCAACGAGTTGCAGCCCATCAACTTCCTCCTACATGTCTACCGAAACTTCGGAGAGCATTGCTTTTTGAGTGGTGTAATATCCCCCAAGATCAGATCGATAATTTGATACTCAGCATGCCTAGGCGTTGTACGGACTGTATTGCATCGCCTGGGAGACGTACAATGTATTAATAATCACACCAACCATGTAATATTGGTTTTTTGTAAATAGGTTTTTTTTGTAATTTGATCCAAGGAGAAAAATCGCTAATTTTTGTAATAATATCAAACATATAGCATCTTTTTTTGCTCTTTACCTTTTGTTTAATAAATAAGCTTTACAAATAAGTCAAATTTGTTTTGCTTCTAACTCTTCCTTTGCCTGATTTTGCATTATCCTTAATTTATGGACATGAGTGTAAATCAGTTTTTGTTGCCTAAAATGTTTATTCTTTCATTTGAGTTTTCTTGTCTTCCTTTCTGAACTACAAGTCATTAATTTATGAATGTTATTTAATAATTCTCACCGAACTTGAATCCAGTAGAGCACGTGTTGGACATGCTTGGCCAACGAGTTGCAGCCCGTCAACTTCCTCCTACATGTCTACCGAAACTTCGGAGAGCATTGCTTTTTGAGTGGTGTAATATCCCCCAAGATCAGATCGATAATTTGATACTCAGCATGCCTAGGCGTTGTACGGACTGTATTGCATCGTCTGGGAGACGTACAATGTATTAATAATCACACTAACCATGTAATATTGGTTTTTTGTAAATAGGTTTTTTTTTTTTTTTTTTGTAATTTGATCCAAGGAGAAAAATCGCTAATTTTTGTAATAATATCAAACATATAGCATCTTTTTTTGCTCTTTACCTTTCGTTTAATAAATAAGCTTTACAAATAAGTCAAATTTGTTTTGCTTCTAACTCTTCCTTTGCCTGATTTTGCATTATCCTTAATTTATGGACATGAGTGTAAATCAGTTTTTGTTGCCTAAAATGTTTATTCTTTCATTAGAGTTTTCTTGTCTTCCTTTCTGAACTACAAGTCATTAATTTATGAATGTTATTTAACTTTAGTACTACTAAGAATAAATTTCATGAGCTTAAACATTAAAATAACATTATTGTTAAAGTTTATTGAAGTACATGGGCATTCATAGTTACTTAGTAAGGTGCAATTATCGTTACAGCAAATGATAATAAGGCTTCTGTGCACTGATTTTCAACCTCTTTGCAGAAGTTTATATGCAAAAATGAATTTATTAATGCCGTATCTTTATTTATGATAAGATTCCAATCATCGTTTTAAAAGCAATATCACATTGTGCTTTAGAACTGATAGTTGACTTGAACTTCACGAATAAATCTGGTACACTCACATTAAAAAGATGTCAATTTTTGAATGAATTTTTGGACTTTATTATTTTATTTTTGAGCATAGCTTGCAATATTCTAATAAACATAGAATTTAGTGATTTTTTTTAATTCAAAAAATCATTATCCAATGTTTCTTTTCTTAACAAAAATTATTTGTTTCTCTTCTTACATTAGCCATATAAATCCATTTTATCAATTTTGTTAAATGTTTGGATTAAATAATTAAAGATATTTTCAATACTTTTAACTATTTGTATACTTTGATACCTTTTAAATGTTTCATCTTATTTGATATTTTCACTTAAGCATTTCCTCATAACATGCTAACATTAATTTAAACGTTTATTGATTTTTTCATTCATGAATTTTCCATTATGATCATCTTTTCATTCTGGGTATAATGTGGTATTAAAATGCACGAAATTTATATTCAGTATTGAGTATTTTTAACAACAGGAATATTTTAAGTTATTGTGTATTGTGTTTAGTATTAATTACGTAAAATATCATTCAGTTAAAACAAATAATTATTGAAAATAAGCAATTTTCAGTTGTTAACGTTTCTTTTATTTGATAAAATATTACACTACGCCGTTTACCTTTTTTTTTGCACACTGCTTATATTCAGAAAAAATAAGTGTTAATCATAATTATTATTTTTTTTGGGGGGGGTATGTCTTTAATCCTTAGATTTCCCCCCACACACACACTCAAAGCCACTTGCCCATATTGATTGTGAAAAAACTCACCAAAACAATATATGATTTTTAAGTATAGCCTTTTATTTCACATGCAACATTACATGCACAACAAGCTCATATAAATAATATTAATTATTTTGAAACTCCCTGAAGCATTCTTTCCTGATTTTAGATCTGGCATCGTCTTCTGCTTCTCTATACCGTAGGAGAATATAATCCATTCACCCTTTACATACTGTAGCATCACACTAAAATCTTTACGCTGCTGTACACCTGGAAAATAAAATATAAAAAAAAAAAAAAAACAAAAAAAAAAAATAAATAAAATAAATAAAAAGGGAGCAATTAAAGTGTTCTGATCATATCTTACAACATGAACATTCAGTAAAATTTAAAAAAAAAAAAAAAAAAAAAAAAAAAAAAAAAATCATCTTTTGCCATTTTGGTATTAAAAATATTGGAACAACTTTAACATTAAGTTAGATTCATATCCCTTAAACGCTTATAGGTAGAAGAAAGATTGGTATTTGAGACTTCAGATTTTCTTTGACATTATAAAAATTCATGATTGCTTGAAGTTAGTTGAAACATTAAAAATCTACAGCATATTTGTATCAAAGATATATATATCACAATTTTGTATAACAATTTTCACGTAATGCAAATTTATAAGCTGGTTTTTCACGCTAGAGTTTCAAAGTTAATAAAATACAGTACTGCAATAAGGAAAATAAACAAATTAAAAAAAATCGTTAAAGTTTTAAAAAATGTGAAGTAGATAATAAAACAAACTTGAGATTCAAAGTTCAGTCTTCCAGATGCCTCACTATGGAAACTTTTCAACAAAACAAACAAAGAAGCTTCGAGGAGTCGAGTTGAGATGGAGAAAAACATAAGCATATAGCAATCCTGTGCTCTACAGCCACTCGAAGATAGTTCTGGAAGCTTTATTTACAAATTAAAGGGCGTATACACAGATTAATTCAAAATCTAGAAATAACTTACCAATAAATTATAATTCCTAACTGAGTCTTCTAGTACGAAGAATGACCGAGGGAAAGTCGAGTGCCAAGACCTAAGCCTAAACCACCAGAAGACTGGTGTTGAGAAGCAGGTGCATGGAGCTGAACATCTGCGGGGCTCTGGTTCTCAGTTCCGGGCTCATTTGTCTTGACAACAGCACGGAATCCATGGTGATCGGCGACGTATTCAACCTGTCTGTGATTTCCGTGACCGTCAGAGTAAGAGTAACTTCCCTGAACATTGCCATGTCCATCTCCATGCTCTTGGCGAGTTTGCTTGAAGTCACTGTGGTGGTCGCCACCCACGATGTCGTATCCGTATTTGTAAGGGATAGGTTGATGAGCCTGTGAAATTAGAAGAAAATATGCAATTAAATTTGATAGATGCAAGAATATATGAGCTTCTTTATGTTTATTTTTTCTAGGGTAAAAATTTTTAATAATGTGCAAGACATATTGTGACATTAATAATGTCCAAGACATAAGATACATATTCTTTGGTACATGAAGTTCTGTGAACGCGAATTCTAAATCTTCCAAATTCTATAAAACTATACTGAATTCCGAAAAAATCGTTCATGAAAAATTACGAGCCCTTACATGTTTGCGTGCAAATATTTAGTATGCATTAACAAACTCATTTATATGTTTTGGCTACTAATGATGCCTTTAATTTATTTTATTGCTTTTTTATACTATCATGTCCCTCACTCCTTTGTCTATAATAAAATGCCGAGGAACCTAGCGAAGTATGTAGCGAATTATCGCTGAGTTCAAGCACTAACAATGTAGACTCGAGAAGGGGAAAATACCCTTTTATTCATTCACAGAAATGATAATAGGTGACCCCTTCTCGGGCTTACAGAAAGCCTCCACTCGGACTTTTAAATCAAGATAAGAAAAAAGAAACTAAACTAACACTTACTAAAATAAAATTAGACGAAGCTAGAAACAAATAGCGAATGTAGTTGGCCCTTCATTTAAAGTAGCCGGCGGCACCTTGTAATTAATACCTTTGTCAAAATTTAGCTTTGCGATTGATTCAAAATTAAATTTGAAAATTATTGCTTTAAATACAAATAGCACTTGCAAAAATTAAGTAGGAATCAAGAATTGATTTTTCGTGTGTTTAATATCTTCAGCATAAAAGGAAAAGCTATTGCTTGGAACTCAAAATTTGAGGGTTTTGAAAATTTTTAATACTTTTGTCAAATTAATTTTTTATTTGTTACTGATTTACCTGTATTAGTAGTATAGATTTCAAACACAATTATTAATTTAATATTATGTCAAGGATAATTGCAATTACAGTCAAACTATTCTGAATCAAAAGATTAAAATTATTCACCTCAACATAAACAATTTTCGGTACTATTCGGTTTCGAGGGCCGTAAAAAATCGCCAAACTATTGTTGATGCCAATGCTGCCAAAAAGAATTGCGGCAACCCTAATAATTGCGGCAAGAAAGGAAGTATAATAGTAAATAACTATCTAAGATGGATGTTTTAATTTAGATGAAAGGTTAATTTCATATAATACTTTTTTATTATTATAATTTATATAAAAATTGCTAAACATAACTGAATGGATGCCTGCATCGCTATTTCGCTACCGACTTATCGCTAAAGCATAATCTCGTTGGTTGTTGAAACGTAATTTTATATAATGAAAGATGCCTTTTCTTTGAAAATATTTTCGGTAAAGTGCAGAATCGCTCACTTATTTGTTTGCCGCTTTTTACAAGGGTAAAAACAATTGGATTTTTTTCAATTTTCTTTTACTTTTTAATTGAGAAAGGTCGATTTGTACATAGATAAAGTCAAGGGTGTGCGCAGTGCCCTTTTTATGCAATTTTGGGATTTTTTTTTTAATGTGAAAATACGTCGATGTCTACATGGATACCGAGTATGTGCAATTCTTAAAAACGCGTCAAGTAGTGGGTGATTCTGCACTTTACCCAAAATTCTGTTGCAGACTTTTCGTCATGGGCAATTCCCAAATTGTTAAATCCATAGGATATCAAAAAAGGATTTAAAAATTAAACTAGTATTTCAATGTCGTCTTAAGAAATATAGAACTATACAAACTTACGCAATCTGAAATCAACGCGTACGCTAGGTTTGGCGCGCTGTTAAATGAGCGCGTTTGCTAGATTTGGCGCTTTTGCGCATACATTTTCGCTGCAATTTTTTTACGGCCCTCAAAACGGAATAGTACCCAATTTTCAAGTGGTAGGACCATTGGTAGGACCATAACTCAGCGTAAAAATGTTAATTCTAAATTTTAAAAGTGCCTTAATTTGACTAAAGTATGATAAATCTCAATGATAAGAAATGTTACAAAAGAATTTAAATCTGATGTGTCCTCTTTAAAAACTGAAACACGAATTTTATTTGTTCAAAAGAAATGGCTTGGAAGTTATATTTCAGGCGATTCTTTTAATTTTATAATACACAAATATATATAAATTATTTATAGTAGTAAAGTAAAAAAAAGTAATAAAAGGAAGGAAAAATGTCTGTATATCAACAATTATTATTTAATTGAGTTTCTGAATCGGAGCAAAATTAATAAGAAAGGATGTTAAGGATATGAAAAAAAACATAAAAAAAAAAAAAAAAAAAAAAAAAAGAAAGAAAAGAAAAGAAAGGAAACAGTGCTTAATTTACAGCAGTTATAAGATTTGGTATATTCTATAAATTCTATAAATATATATTCTATAAATTCTATGGAAAATGATTTTGATAAAATGCACTGAAATGAAATTTACTGGTTAATATTAAAATATAGAACTGACTAATATTAAAATGGGAAATAAATCGAAAAGAACTCAGAAAATTCACTTCCCACAGGGGTAAAAATTATGTCATTGCAAATAGGATGAATAACAAATATGATATGTGTTAAATCATATTTCAATTATCAGAAAGTGCGAAGAATTATCAACATAATAAAAATAGAAAAAGCAGATTTTAAAAATTATAGTCTCATATTCTGCATAAATAAATCACTTAGATTTAGCGTATGATTGATGATATTTTTTTGTAAGTTTCGAAGAATTCAATAATTCATTTCATATTTTAAAAAATGAAAATATTTAAGATGTTGTGCATGCCTTTGTCAGTTTTAAGTCCTGCCATTTAGATTATGAACTACAGATTGAACTATAACTGTTGCCATTCGCTGCTACAGATTAAACCTTTTTTTTTTAACAATGTGCAATTGAATATGAATGCAAGACAAGAGTAACGACGATAACATTTAAACTTCATGCACAGTACTCTAATATTTCATGATCATCAAAAAATATTTTCTTCCCATTTTTAAGATTTAGGATATGAAATTTTCATTTTACATTTGCACCGTTCATTAAAAATGGAGTGCGTTTAATCATGTGTTTCGTAATTGCTGATATAAAAAGAAAATGAATTATTTATTAGCTTACATAATCTTGATGTCCATAACCAGATTGGCCGCCATAACCTCCTTCACCGCCTTGTTCACCACCTCCATAGCCACCTCCATAGCCACCGCCATAACCTCCGGCATTTCCGCCGCCATATCCATGTTGACCATACTGTGCAGCAGCTACTGCTACCAACACAACCAAAACAGCTAGCTGAAATAAATAAAAAGGATAAATATATAAGCAAGTCGTGGTATTAAAGGAAAGTAAAAAGAAAAGAAAAAAAAAAAAAAAAAAATCTGAAAGTTTTCAGATTTTATATTACTTTTAAAGTGTTTTTTTTTTTTAATTTTTAATTATTTTTTTAACGTTTTCTGTGTTACCTTTATTTATTAAATATCATGTTCTTCTCACTTAAACAATAAAATTCAGTTCAACAGCCATATCAAAAAACAATTTAAAAGGAGCATATCTTTAAAATTTCCGATACACAGAATCCGCTGGAGATCAAAATTTATTAATTTTTTCGTAAAGTGTTGTCATTGCTCGCTTTGAAATCGTTGTGTTTGTTAATCAAAAATTCGTTAAAGATTTACAAAATATGAAATAGATAAAACAAATTCCAAATTTGTGCTCCCAGATGCCCATATTCGAGTGGAGGATTAAGTTATTCATAAATGGATGGTTCTAGGTAGCGTTTTTTTTTTTTCACAGTGCGATAAACATACATATATTTACGTAGCTTCTTCGTTATTTAATTTCTTTAACTATTATACAGGGCAATAATATTTGGTGGAAACAATCTGAAAAGTGATTCGACGCAAAATGCCAAAACGAAATTAATAGCCCTTTAGGCTAGCAACTACTAATTGCTTCACTTCTCAGTTCCGTAAGGATTCTGGATTGTGCTATTTTATAATATTCTCAGATGTACTGAAATGTGGAGATATTTTCATCTTGTTATAACTTCTTAATTTACTTTAATCTGAATTCTTAAACATTATGAATATATTATCACTAAAAGTGCCATTAGTTTTATGGAAATAATAAATAACAAAGTTTACTGTTAAATAAATGGAAAAAGTTTGCTACATTGCTGGTATGCAAAAACAAACACCTTCCTCTTAAAGAAAATAAAAACGCTTTGAAATGTTAGTTTTCTAACACTGTTAGTCAAATCCAGATGGACAAGCTAGCTGCATGGGCGTTTCCGCTGATTTTACAACTGTAGCTTAAAAATGAACCAGTTTCCTTCAGAAAGTCTTCCACGAAGGGATTCCTTCTCTTAGGCAAATATCCTAGAAAGCTTTGCCATTATCTAATAAATTCAAACAATGTTAAAAAAAAAAGATACCTAAAAAATGGATAAATTTACCGTACTTTATTTCAATATGTATTAATAATTTCTCATTAATTGGAATTCAAATTTACAACCTGTTGATTTTCAAACAGACGATTTAGTCGGAATAGCCTATAAGACATTTTTAGCATTGCAATTCTATTTAAAAAAAGAATTAAAACTTAAACTCGAATACTTATCATAAATTAATGAAATAAATTTATTCGGAAACTACTTAGCAGACCTTCAGCTGAGTAATTGAAATTACAGAACAATAGTTTTTTTTTTTTTTTTTTTTTTTTTTTTTTTATCTAGTACTTTGAATTCTTCTTCCGAAGAAGGAACACGCTAGCCAAATGATTGCTTTCGTAGACGCCATTAATTACATGAATAATACACGCCGGTCTTCCCTTAAAATGTCGATCGAATAATGGAAATCAGTTTCTTGGAAAAGTTGATAGATATCTCTTTTCAGGTATAGCTGTCCAATGTTTAGTCGTAATTAAAGTAACGAAACATTAGTATGTTGATTGAGTATTCTAAGATCTTCAATTCTGATGCATGTGAATTAATTTTCTTAGTTAAGAACATACTATTTGGGATTACAGTTCCATATTCTTATTCCTTTCGTTCTTTTTCGATATCACTATAAGCTATACTTTAGATATTTAAATGTAAGTTAAATCCGGAAGATTATGAATATAATGTACATTCTGGATTTTTTAAAAATAATCTTTCTTTTGAACACTCGAAAATTAGATTTTAGGGTACTTACGTACTAAAGCAACGACCTTGGTAATAATCCCCAAATTTTCAAGAATGTGCCAAACTCTGGCAACATGCGCATAACCATCCTTCGGTCAAGCAACGCCGCTATTTTCTTATGCGTTCTTTTTTGTTGCATCCCAAATTCCAATGGTTTTTATAAACAAATCGTGATATTTTTTACCTTACACTTAATTTTAAAATATGAGCTTGTAGAATTTTTCAGAAGTGGAAGAAACTACGATAAAATTCCTGCAAGAAATACAGAATTTTGCTGAAAATATTTAAAGGGACCAGCGAGGAAATTCTTTTCCTAGATGGCTGCTGTTGCCGAAGAATGCACGAAGTCGAGTCTTCTTTTTAAGGGGGAAAACAGATCGCTGTGTACTTCGGGAGAAGATTAGCGCCAAAAAATTGCAGAGATATTTGAAGAAGAATGTGTTTTATTGTTTAATGTATTATGCAATTCTTATTTAATAATTCAAATTTGTATTTTAAATTACTAAAGTATGTTTTATTTTCATAAGTTGATAATAGTTACTGATTTACGATAAAAATCGATACGCTGGGAATCTTTCTAAACAAAAATAAGGATAACCGAAGTACACAATAATCTCCAACTTGGCATTCGATAAGTAACTTTTACCTATTCATCTGTAAAAAACCGCCCAAATGCGCCAAGGTGGTTGCATTAATCCGTAAGTGCCAGTTTAGATTCAGTTCTGTTCTATTTTTCTAAAAATATCTATTTTCGAGACACGAAACTGATTGATAGTTACGTTTGGAATTACATTACTCGGCTGCGCGAGCAAGGGGCTTTTTAATAAGACCTTATTTAAACGATCAAAATATCAAAATGTCTTAATTTTTAGTATCTCTAATTTCGCTTTGTTTTGCAGAAAGTATTTAAAAGTACATTCCTGAGTTTCTGATCCAATAGAAAAAAATTTCAAAACACGTAATTAATAATAAAGATTCGTAAATTAATTTAATCACTTCAAGAACGAAAATAAGTTGAAATCAACCTAAATACTGAAATTATAAATTATTACATACCTTAAACATGTTGCTACGAGGAAATTTGATTGCTGGTTTGGAACAGCTGCAAACGATTGGTGAATGTGCTGTTCCGTTGTCGTTTGCTGAGTTTATATACTTAGAGGGACGAATAAGAAAAAGAATGATTTTACTGCATTTTTGGGGCTCCGAACTAGCACCGACTGTCAAAAAGTTCAAGATCTAGATCTCGGCCATATGGGTGGGGTTGGACTGTTCGAAACCGAAAGTGATCGGATTACTAACCGATTTCCTGAAGGGAAAACGACGTCTTTTCTTGGCACGCGCAGTGAAGCACCGGCGTATTAGAATGAGTTTATAGTTGACTTTGAAACTTTTTAAGCTAAGATAGCAGTTTTCGCGTTACATTTCACGCGGTTTTAAATACTTATAATTTTGATTATATATAGTTAGAAAATACCATGTAAACAAATGTCCAGATCTGTGAAATATATATATTTTTTAATTGATAAATATTTGATAAATATTCTTTAAATAAATTAAAGTAACTTATCAAACTGATGTATAAAGATACATATATTTTCCCCTGATTTACAACACTTCCGCTCTATGTAGGGTTACCAGACATCCGAGATTATTCCGGATAATCCGGGGTTTTGTCCGGAATCGAAAAAGGTCCACAATTTTAAGTGAGGCTAATTGTACATCTAATTAACCATGCCAGTAAAAGCATCAGTTTTAGTGCAGAGGATTTTTTTAAATTAGGAACAACATTACAATTAATTTAGGAACAACATTACAATTAATTTAGGAACAACATTACATTTTTAATTAGGAACAACATTTACAACACTTCCACTCTATGTAGGGTTGTAGAGTCATTAGGTTAATTGGAAGCAGAAAAGATGAAAAATATGCAACCGCCTTCGCCGGGAATCGAACCACGGACCTCTGGAATACCGGTCCAGCGTGCGGAACCACTACACCACGAAGGCACGCTAGGGAAGTGGGAGAAATACCTTACATACTCTCTTTTTTTTAAAGGGCGACTAGGGTTTTAGGGGATCTAGTCGCCAATTCCTGGGTGCGGAGAATCATCATCCACAACCCTGTTAGTTTGGGCGCCACTTGTAGAGTCATTAGATTAACTGGAAGCAGAAAAGATGAAAAATATACAACCGCCTTCGCCGGAAATCGAACCACGGACCTCTGGAATACCGCCCAAGCGTGCAGAACCGCTACACCACGAAGGCACGCTAGGGAAGTGGGAGAAATACCTTATAGGTTTACCAGACATCCGGAATTATCCGGAATTATTCCAGGGTTTTGTCTGGAATCGAAAAATGTCCACAATTTTTAACTGAAGCTGATTGCACACCTAATTAATCACGCTAATAAACGCATCAGTTCTAGTGCAGAGGATTGTTTTTAATTAGGAACAACATTTGGTCTTCAGAAAGAGGTTGAATACATGTGAGTCAACACTAAAAGACTACTTGAAAGTGAATTCCAGATATTCATTCAGTGAATTTTATGAACTTATAAAGTACAAAAATGCGTCTAAGGAAAATATTAGGTAATGATCAGTAAGCAAGTTTACCGCCCCTTAATTCTGCTGCTAAATTTTGCCGCCCCGAAATTAAGTGCATTTCGAAATTTTAAAAGTTTCTCTAACTCCAAATTTTGCAAGTACGTGTTTCTTTTAAGTCTAAAATTTTTGTCAGCCTTAAATTCTTCCGCGCAATGCGGCCGCACCAAATGCATCGGCTCTTGCGCCGGCATAGGCAGGAGTAAATCCACTGCAAAAATTTCAGTCACCCTAATCACATTTACCGTACAAACAGTACAAAATACAAACAAGCTCCTTTTCAATACCTTGACAATTTTTTTTTTTTTTTTTTTTTTTTTTTTTTGTCATTGATATAAAATTTTCTTTTTTTTCCTTCATACTAACTTTTATCTGCTATACAGGGTTGTATAACATATCAGTAGTAGCTTTTATATTCATCTAAATTAATTTACATAAATTACATTCAGCACATGCGCATTTTGGACCGGCGCATTCGCAGAAAAGTTTCGAGAAAGCCTGGAGACAAACAAGTACATAAATGAGTTTTATTTAATTCGAAATGGGGGTTCAGCAAAAAGCAGATTACGAAATTCAGTATTGCTTCAGTAAAAACTCATGTAATATGCATACTCCTTACATGCTTCAATGCAAATGCATTTTTTTACTCGATTCTAGTTGGATGATATGCACACACTTCCGCGAATATGCATGACCCGAGATTTTCGTTCTCAAGATTTGGTAATCCTAACTCTATACTGTTTTATAGTTATGGTTACCGGACGTTTGGAATTAGCTTAATTCCTAGTTACGTCCGGTATTATTCCGGATAATCCGGGGTTTTGTCCGGAATCGAAAAATATCCACAACTTTTAAGTAAAGCTGATTGTACATCTAATTAACCGTCCGGGATTATTCCGGATAACTGTGTCCTAGAAAGAAAAAAGTCAGAGATTTTTTAATTAGTGGCTATAAAATTCAAAGAAGACCAACAGAAAAGGGGAAAAAGTAATGCTTTTACTCGGATGCAAATATTTTAAGATAAAATGAGAGTAATTTTGAGAACTTAGTAGGTGATTTCATTAATACACCTTCGCATTATCTGTATCTTGACAAAAAGTTTAAATGAATTTTATCTATTTTTTAATAATTTATAAATACCTAGCACAATAATCATGTTCTTTGCTTTCTCACTTTCTTTTATATAATTCATATCAGCCTTCCATTTGTCGCATTGACTTACAAAGTTTAAGGCTTTCTTAACACAGGAATTAATTTTTTATAGCCTGTCCTTGATTAGCTTTCATGAAATATTGCATCCTTATATATAACGGGTGGCCATAATTAAACTGACAGTGCTCACAGTGTTCTGTAGCGCGATCTATTTGCGAGAATGACGCCACATTTTGTAGGAAGATTAAACAAGACGGGAGACAAAGAATTCTGAAAAAAAAAAAAAAAGTTCCAAAAGTCACCGCTAGGGGAATATTTGGCGCTGTGTAATAGAAAATAGAGTGTTAAGAAATGCAAATTAATACGGAATAAAATTACCTTTTATTATGCACATTTTCTGATTTAGTTCAAGTGCAATACGGCAACACTTTTAAAAAAGCGTAAAATCTACATAAACACCAATAAAGTCTCGTGATCTGCATTATCACGTAAGCTGAGCAGAAGAAGAAGTTCTTCATTTAAATTTCACGTTACATCCATTCGCACAGTGGTGTAAGGTAAAAGGTAATGTGTTACGTTTCGAATCAATCGGATTGAAAGTTTATGTGCAATGTTCACAGCGGAATTTATCGTAGGTCCATTCTTCTATGAGAACATAACCCCGACAGGACCGGAAACCTGTTCTGTTACCGGAGAGAAATATCGCCACATGTTGAACAGCTTTGTCATTCCAGCACTTCAGCAAAGACAATGCCTGGGAGATCCTTTTCATGCAAGATGGAGTCCCTCCTCACGTTGCTGTACGGGTGCAACAGATGCTACGACAGAAATTGACAACAGAAAGAGTCATTAGCCACTACTTTCCAACTGCATGGCCACCTCGGTCGCCTGATCTTACCCCATGCGACTTCTGGCTATGCGGTTACCTTAAGTCGAAGGTCTATCAAGGAGTGGTCCAGGACCTGGCTACGTTGAAGGATAACATAGCACGGACTGTACGGGAGATTCCTGCAGACATGTTACTTTCTGCTGTTGTGCATACTGTGCCAGAATGGAATATGGGGTCCACAACAATGGCAGCCACATTGAACTTCATTTGAATGCAAAATAAAAGGTAATTTTCGTATTGATTTGCATTTGTTAACACTCTATTTTCTGTTACACAACGCCAAATATTCCCCAAGCGGTGACTTTTGGAACTATTTTTTTTCGCGGAATCCTTCGTCCCCCGTCTTGTTAAAACTTCCTACAAAATGTGGCGTCATTCTCGCAAATAGATCGCGCTACAGAACGCTGTGAGCACTGTCAGTTTAATTATGGCCACCCGGTATATATATATATGGAATAGAAATTTTATGCTGTAATTTCTTTTTTGGTATTGTGCATTATAACTGATAGAATTTTGTAGAGGTTATTTGGAAGCAGAAGAGCTGAAAAGTGAGCAGTGCCCTTGCCGGGACCTCTAGAATACGAGTCGAGTGTGCTGATCGCTACACCACGAAGCCATGCTAAGAAGGCGGGAGAAATACCTTATATACTTCCCTTTTCAAAGGGCGACTGGGTATTAGAGGACCCAATCGCAAAATCCTGATTATGAAGAATATTATCCACCACCTTTTAGTTCGGGCGTCACTGTAGAGACATTAGGTAATTTTGAAGAAAAAGACATGAAAAATTAGCAATGCCCTCGCCGGGACTCGAACCACGGACCTCGCGAATACGCGCCGAGCGTGCTGACCACTACAACACGAAGGCATGCTAAGAAGGCGGGCGAAAAGTTTAATAAAGTTGTTGATTGCATGTTTTACATTTCTTGGAATCTACCAAGGAATTCCAAGAATCTTCATCACTAAGATATGCTTATGTTCCTGCCATTACAATGAACTGTCTACCTCACCAGAAATAAATCCTTCATTATTGGTTGGAAGAAAAGGTTCCTTTGGTTTATTTGACTACGACAAAGCACTCGAGGGCTATCTGCCTAAGGGAAGGACTTTTTAAGGGAAACTGGATCATGTACACGTTACACATGCGGAAAAGCACGAAAACGCCCATGCAACCAGCCCGTTTGCGGGATAAGAATCTCGGACCAAGCGTGTTTAACGAGTTTACCGCTCTGCCTCTGGTAGGCTGAAGGAAAAGAAAACTTGCTGATTTTCAGTAAACAGCAATTAGATTTTTAAGTTATGACATCTTTTCTCTAAACAACACATCCCGACCATTTTTATCTTGTTACTCAAAATTTAAGTGCTGTATAAGTACAGTAATTTACACATTATTTAAGTATATTGCAAGATGGTAAAAGGTTATTTGCAAAGTGTAAAGCAAGTGTTTCTAATTGATGCGGTTTTTTTTTTTAATAATCCAGTGAATCTGGGAATCAATGACTGCCTTAGATACGAATAAATTGTAATATTTTTTCAAATTGATTTCCTCCTTTCAAATTTATTA